ATATGCTGCTAAATAACCAAGAGATCACTGAAGAAATCAAAGAGGAAATAAAAAAATATCTAGAAACAAATGACAATGAAAACACAACGATCCAAAACCTGTGGGATGCAGCAAAAGCAGTTCTAAGAGGGAATTTTATAGCAATACACTCCTACATCAAGAAACAGGAAAAATCTCAAATAAACAACCTAACCTTACACCTAAAGTAGTTAGAAAAAGAAGAATAAAAATACCCCAAAGTTAGCAGAAGGAAAGAAATCGTAAAGATCAGATCAGAAGAAAATGAAAAGAAATGAAGGAAATGATAGCAAAGATCAATAAAACTAAAAGCTGGTTCTTTGAGAAGATAAACAAAATTGATAAACCATTAGCCAGGCTCATCAAGAAAAAAAGGGAGAGGACTCAAATCAATAGAATTAGAAATGAAAAAGGAGAAGTAACAACTGACACTGCAGAAATACAAAGGATCATGAGAGATTACTACAAGTAACTATATGCCAATAAAATGGACAACCTGGAAGAAATGGACAAATTCTTAGAAAATCACAACCTTCTGAGACTGAACCAGGAAGAAGTAGAAAATATAAACAGGCCAATCACAAGCACTAAAATTGAATCTGTGATTAAAAATCTTCCAACAAATAAAAGCCCAGGGCCAGACAGCTTCACAGGTGAATTCTGTCAAACAGAGAAGAGCTAACATCTATCCTTCTCAAACTCTTCCAAATAGGTAGGAACACTCCCAAACTCATTCGTTGAGGCCACCATCACTCTGATAACAAAACCAGACAAAGATGTCACAAAAAAAGAAAACTACAGGCCAATATCATTGATGAACATAGATGCAAAAATCTTCAACAAAATACTAGCAAACAGATTCCAGCAGTACATTAAAAGGATCATACACCATGATCAAGTGGGGTTTATCCCTGGAATGTAAGGATTCTTCAGTATACACAAATCAATCAATGTGATACACCATATTAAAAATTGAAGGATAAAAACCATATGATCATCTCAATAGATGCAGAAAAGGCTTTCGACAAAATTCAACACCCATTTATGATAAAAACTCTCCAGAAAGTAGGTAGAGAGGGAACCTACTTCAATATAATAAAGGCCACATATGACAAACCCACAGCAAATATCATTCTCAATGATGAAAAACTGAAAGCATTTCCTTTAAGATCAGGAACAAGGCAAGGATGCCCACTCTTGCCACTCTTATTCAACAGTTTTGGAAGTTTTAGCCACAGCAATCAGAAGAAAAAGAAATAAAAGGAATCCAAATTGGAAAAGAACAAGCAAAGCTGTCACTGTTTGCAGGTAACTTGCCACTATACAGAGAATCCTAAAGATGCTACCAGAAAACTACTACAGCCAATCAATGAATTTGGTAAAGTAGCAGGATACAAAATTAATGCACAGAAATCTCTTTCATTCCTATACACTAATGATGAAAAATCTGAAAGAGAAATTAAGGAAACATTCCCATTTACCACTGCAACAGAAAGAATAAAATACCTAGGAGTAAACCTACCTAAGGAGACAAAAGACCTGTCTGCTGAAAACTATAAGACACTGATGAAAGAAATTAAAAGACAATACAAACAGATGGAGAGATATACCATGTTCTTGGATTGGAAGAATCAATATTGTGAAAATGACTATACTACCCAAAGCAATCTACAGATTCAGTGCAATCCCTATCAAACTACCAATGGCATTTTTCACAGAACTAGAACAAAAAGTTCACAATTTGTACGGAAACACAAAAGACCCCGAATAGCCAAAGCAATCTTGAGAAAGAAAAACGGAGCTGGAGGAATCAGGCTACCTGACTTAGACTATACTACAAAGCTACAGTAATCAAGACAGTGTGGTACTGGCACAAAAACAGAAATATAGATCAATGGAACACGATAGAAAGCACAGAGATAAACCCATGCACATATGGTCACCTTATCTCTGATAAAGGAAGCAAGATTATACAGTGGAGAAAAGACGGTCTCTTCAATAAGTGGTGCTGGGAAAACTGGACAGCTACATGTAAAAGAATGAAATTAGAACACTACCTAACACCATACACAAAAATAAACTCAAAGTGGATTAAAGATCTAAATATAAGTTCAGACACTATAAAACTCTTAGAGGAAAACATAGGTAGAACAGTCTGTGACATAAATCACAGCAAAATCCTTTTTGACCCACCTCCTAGAGAAATGGAAATAAAAACAAAAATAAACAAATGGGACCTAATGAAACTTAAAAGCTTTTGCACAGCAAAGGAAACCATAAACAAGATGAAAAGACAACCCTCAGAATGGGAGAAAATATTTGCCAACGAAGCAACTGACAAAGGATTAATCTCCAAAATATACAAGCAGCTGAATATGAAAAAACAAACAAACCAATCCAAAAATGGACAGAAGACCTAGAAAGACATTTCTCCAAAGAAGATATACAGATTGCCAACAAACATATGAAAGGATGCTCAACGTCACTGATCATTAGAGAAATGCAAATCTAAACTACAATGAAGTATCACCTCACACTCATCAGAATGGCCAGCATCAAAATATCTACAACAATAAATGTGTGGAGAAAAGGGAACCCTCTTGCACTGTTGGTGGGAGTGTAAATTGATACATCCTCTATGGAGAACAGCTCCTTAAAAACTACAAATAGAACTACCATATGACCCAGCAATCCCACTACTGGGCATATAACCCTGATAAAACCATAATTCAAAAAGAGACCACGTGTACCATCGTGTACCACGATGTTCATTGCAGCACTATTTACAATAGCCAGGACATGGAAGCAACCTAAGTGTCCATTGACAGATGAATGGATAAAGAAGATGTGGCACATATATACAATGGAATATTACTCAGCCATAAAAGGAAATGAAATTGAGTTATTTGTAGTGAGGTGGATGGACCTAGGGTCTGTCATGCAGAGTGAAGTAAATCAGAAAAGGAAAAACAAATACCGTAGGCTAACACATATATATGGAATCTAAAAAAAAAATGGTTCTGAACAACCTAGTGGCAGAACAGGAATAAAGATGCAGATGTAGAGAATGGACTTGAGGACGTGGGGAGGGGGAAGGGTAAGCTGGGAAGAAGTGAGAGAGTGGCACTGACGTATATACACTACCAAATGTAAAATAGATAGCTAGTGGGAAGCTGCTGCATAGCACAGGGAGATCAGGTCGGTGCTTTGTGACCACCTAGAAGGGTGGGATAGGGAGGGTGGGAGGGAGATGCAAAAGGAAGGGGATATGGGGATATATGTATACATATAGCTGATTCACTTTGTTATATAGCAGAAACTAATGCAACATTGTAAAGCAATTATACATGGCTAATGTCTGGGCATAACTTCTTGTTTTTGGTAGCAGGATCTGGTCCTCAACACCAGCTTCATATTCAGGCAGCACTCTTTACCATTCCTGCCACCTTCTCCCTCACCCTCATCGCCCCTCCCTTACAATATCATTCTGTGCTCCATCCTCTGTGACAATATTACTGAGCCAGCTTTGAATAGGCTGTAATGTCATATCAGTTCTACACCTGGATGCCTGGCTTTCACAAATAACGAAAAGCTAGGAGATTAAAGCACTCATCATTGACTGGTGGGTGACTTCATTTTTAACAAATGAGTTAGATGCTAATTGTCATGGCTCTTCTGATTGAAAGAAAAATCTTGAAGGAGATGACATTTTAGTTGCTGCTTGAGCAGTGGGGGAAGAAAGAATAGGGGATATTTGAGGCTTAAGATTCATTCTCAACTAATAGTTGAGTATTATATGGAAGGCACTGGTGGTAGAAAAATTTAGTTCCTGTTTAACTCCGAATGACTGGTGTAGAGAGATAATGCAAAAGTTGAAAGAAAAGAGATTGCTGAGGATTGGAGAAGTTGGAGAAGGATTCTCACTCTACCAAATCTCACTCTACCAAATCTCCCTGGATGATTTATGTATTCTCTTGAGATCAGATTCTCTTGAGAACCTGGTAGTTCATCATAACAAAGTTTCATGGAGTTTCTGGAATATATCATGATCTCCTGTCTCTATATGCACATGCTGTTTCTTCTGCCTGGAATAGTGTTAACTCGGCTAATTCTTAATAATGCTTAAAATATAATCACAGCAGCCATTACTTTCAGAAAAGCTTACTTGATCCTTCAACACTGAGTTAAGTATTTCTGTAGTTCTCGTAGTCCTTGTTCTTCCCCAGTCATAACCTTTATTGCACCATGTTGTAACTGCCTTCACTAGATGTTCAAGGAAGACAGGAAATGGGTATGTGATAATGCCTGGTATATGGCTGCTGCTCCAAAAATATTTGTTGGTTGAATGAATGAGTGGGATTTGGTAGAGAGGACACTTGGTCACTCCAGGCAAGGGGAAGAGGGCAAACAAAAACAAAGCATGGGCTAATGCGTATAGCTGATCCTGAGGCAGTGAGTGGAATCATTTGATTGGAGTGTAATATTGAAAAGAGAGGCTGCAGCTTTCAACATGAGGAAGTCCAGAGTTTGTTTAATAAAAAAAGGCCATTGAAGCTTTTAGAGATAAGAAGAATAATATACATTCTCATAAATTCGATTAAGTGATAGACCTGTGCTTGGGAAATAAGTTTTTCTAATTCTTGTTTTAAAATTTTTGTAATACTTTTCAATGGACTTAAACATATGATAACTGCCTCTTTTAAACATATGATAACTGCCTCTTTTATAGACTCGTCTTTTAAGATTGTACCCACATAATTTATAGGGAAAGTTTTAGAAGATTTTAATACTCTTGAATAAATTGAACAACTCATTAAACTGTGCAATTTGTTTTTCTTACAAACTGAACTGTTGTGAACTATGAAAATTTTTAAATATAATTCAAATAAGGCAGTAATCTGACACATGTATAGGGGTTTCCTTCTTGTTTGTAACTTGAAAAAGAATAAATGCTTACAGCTGTGACTTTTTTTCCCCTCTAGTATCTCCAGAGGCAGTTGGATTTTTGTCAGCTGTTGGGGTGTTTATTATCTTGATGCTGCTCCTTTTTCTCTATATTAATAAGAAGTTCTGTTTTGAAAATGTTGGCGGGTTTCCAGATCTTGGTTCAGGATACAGTACAAAGAAGAATTCACAAGATAAAATTTGTAAGTATCATATCGCTGCTTTCCCTTGTTTGGTCTTTCTGTCTGTACTATTTATTACTTTCTTTAAAAAAAAATATATATATATATATATATAATAAAAAGCTTGATTTTGACATGTAGTAAACTAACCTTGAGCCACTATTCTGAGAGTAAAAGATGTATTAAGTAAATTATGTTCAGTTATCTTTTTATTGCCCATGAATTGCTATCATAGTGCATAAAGATGAATTGTATACCATCGTTGAATGACACTTTTATTTTTCAAATATAAGGTATGCTTTTGAGCCTGTTATATGAACACATATGCTTTAAGAAGAAGGATATATCTTATTACATTTTATCCTTTAATCCATTGTCCAAATATTTCCCTAGAGAGCTTTTTTCCCGTGTCCCTAGAAGGCTTTTGAAAGTATTCACCCTTTATCTTTACATGCTGTTGAATTCTCAGTGATGGATAATTTTATTGTTTGGAGAATGTGGTTTTCCCTGGTAACTTAATGTATAAAGTCTGATTATGAAAATTAGTGTTCCTCTCCCTCCCTTGGCACCACAGGCATATTATATGACTTAGTGTTACTAGATAGCAGGAAAGATGAGGGCTGTGAAACTGTTCTTTCTCTTATGAAAACATTTTATATTTTAAAATAATTACAAGAGTTCTTTATTTGCTATTTCCAAAGACTGGCTTATGTAAATGATAGCAGGAGTAAGTTGAAAATTGTAAAAGTAAGACATTAATTGAGAAGAATTGTAAGGAACAGTAGAAGAGAAACCTTGCTTTTCTTATCCATGAATATATGTTGAAGAGGTGCTTTTCTCTTATTTCTGATAACTTAAAAAGTGATAGCGTCATTGTTTATGAAAATCTTATTATTGAATTACGTCATGCAGCTTTTGCATTATGAAACTATAGTACTTTATGTGATTTTGGTTTGATCAAGTTTAATGTTTCTCATACGTCGCTTCAGTCCTGTTTTTTCATCATTTGTGTAGAATGAACTGGTTAAAGATACCTCTTTTAGCAGCCCCCAGTAATTCTGTGTTTTAGCATTTTTGGTAAAAATGCTTTTACCCTTTACACTCTTAAAAATTATTGAGGACCCCAAAGAGCTTTTGTTTATGTGAGTTATAGCTATTGGTATGTACCAAATTAGAAGTTAAAGGCTAAGAAAATTTTAAAATATTTTTTATCGATTTATTTTAAAATATCCAACAATAAGCCTATTACATGTTAATATAAATGTATTAATTTTAAAAACTATATATTTTCTAAAACCAAAAAAAAAAGTTTGGTAAGAAGAGTGACATTGTTTTACATTGCAAATCTCTTTAATGACTGGCACAGAAGAAGGAAGCAACTGGATTCTCACATCTGCTTCTGCATTCAGTCTGTCATATGGCCTCTGGAAAATCCAAGTGCTCATTTGTGAGTGAATGAAAATGAAAAGTTACATATTCTCTTACTCTTATTGTAAAAATAGTTTTGACCTTGAGGATCCATTGGAAAGGTCTCGGGGACCTTATTAATTTTTCTGAGGCTGTTTCTTATTCACTTATTAAATAAGAATAATAATATTTACCTCCTAGAGTTATTGTAAGATCAAGTAAGGTAAAATTTGTGAATCACAATGCCTTACATGTAATAGCAACTCTGCAAATGTTCACCCTCTGCTCTTCCCTATTCTAACCTCTATGCAAAATTGTTTAGATATGTAAACAAATATATATTTAGGGGAATATATAGGGGAAACCCTTAATATATTTTTTATTTTGAAATGATATTGGTACTTTGTTAATCAGATAGGGTAGTTCCCATACATAGACTATTAATAAATACACTAAAAAGTACATAATAAAAATCCTTTTTATACTTCTTCTTGCAGGTATAGAATAAAAACTCAATAGTATTTGAGGGGAAAATATTGTCTTGCTGCTGTTATGATAGCTGTGGAGTGGGAAAAAGTCATTACGTTTAAACCAAGTGGTTTGATTTTTTTTTTGAAGCGTCTTTACTTCAACATATTTCTTCCATTGCATAAGCATTTACAGAAAAATTAAAAGATACAATGTGAAATACTGATATTGGGCTAATGAATGGCACCATTTAAGTAAATGTTAAATTCAGACTTGAAAGTGGTTGATTTTTTGAGAAGAGAAAATTTTTGCACCTTTTAGGAACAAGGAGTTAGAAAATGGCATTTTTCAAAAATTTTCAGCAGAATCTGCCTTCAGTGTCCTCTCTGGTGGACACAATCAGTAATGCTGTGGAAGATTTGACCACTGCTGTGGGGGAAGTCAGCTATGCTTTCACTGACTCGGTTGCTGAACAGGTAGCAAGTATGATAAGTGGCTTCCGCCCAGAAGAGGAAAGCCCTGCAGCAACAGAAGCTGTAGATACTTCTAAACGAGAAAATACCACGTTACCAGAAGTCTCTAAAAACACTAATTGTCAGAAAACACAATTCGATTTAGAGCACCAAGCAAATCGAATAAATAGCTATAATACTTCAGTTTCACAAAAGCAAGATCAAGGAATGAATGAAGAAGGAGTATTTAAACATATTAATAATAGGCAACAGACACTATCAAAATATCAAGAAACCGATACTGCTGGTGATTCTTCTTTGAAAGGCCAGATGAGTGATGGTAGGATATCAGTTAGCAAGCAGTATGCAAGGGCTGGATCTACTTGTCAAGAACTTGAAAGTACTGACAGATGTAGAAAATATGGATTAGGAATTTCCAATAATGGTAAGCATGACCTAAAGGAGGTAAGATTTCAAGAAATGCAAGAAAATTATTTAAAGAAGGCTGAAAAACATATTAAAAGTAAAGGATCCAAAGGGAATAAGTGTTCAGGAAATGAATGTTCTCCAAAAGGTATTTTGGAAAGCAATAGACATATGATACAGAAATCCATTAAGAAAAAAGACATACATCCAGCAGCATCAACTAATTCTAAAGGTAAGTGTTATGGAAAATCAAAGAACAAATAAATCCAACAAAATACTACAAAGTGAAAGGAGACATAAAAACAAAGAAAAATGAAGCCATTTCTGCCAAAAAAGAAACAGCAAAGAGTAAAGATGAAAAATATTCTGAGATAATACCAGAAAAAGGTGAGGTCTCCTAATGTGAGTTGAGTGATAAAATTTTCTCTTGATTTTTTACGTTAGGAAAACATCCAAATTTCTAAATTTTTCTATACATGTCTGTATATCTAATTTAAGACTTTCTTGAATCCTCTTACTGGGAGACATTTTTAAAGTCATACAGTTTTTTCTCACAGTCATTTCAAAAGCATTCATGTTATTTGTATACCTCTAATTTAGTTACTGCCCCTGGTCCCTGCATTATTTGGCCAATTTTAAGGGCTTTAATTTTACTTAATGCCCATTTATTTTTCAATCAGAAATTCTGTGGTTTTCTTAAGTAGTGTGCATACTTTAATTGGAATTTATTTGGTGTGCTACAGTTAGATTTAAAAATTTTATATTTTTGTAACGAACCCTTAAGCCCTTTATACTGTGTTGCTCTTCACATCTTTCCTAGTAAGAATGTACCAAACGTTTTATGTTTTTCCTTGAGAGCAATAGATTTTTATCTTATTGAATAACATGCTTCAGGATATGTATCTATTCATTTAGCCATACATTAAGAGTTTTATATGACATGTTTCCAATGTGTATACATGAACAATCTATTATTATTCATGAGTTCTCTATGTAGAATTAAGATTCCAACTAAGCAGTTATAGTTTTCATCCACAATATTTGTGACAATTTTTAAAACAATTAGCTGACAGTTACTTGGTTTTGGTTGCAGAATTGCTTCATATCGCTAGTTAGTACACCTGGTTATCCTTTAGTCATTTTCATTAATTTCTGATCTGATCACAAGGCCAGAAGTACACTGGCTTTTATTTATAAAAGATACAGAATTTTTATGTATATTTACATTCTCATAAAATAACCAAAATACTGAGTAGCAGTAGAAATGAAGAAGACTGTTTCAGTTCTGCTACATGACTTTGCGCATAATAGGGTCTGCTATTTATCAATTATATGAATGTTTTTTAAATGATATAATAGAGGCTGATCCAGGATGGATGAGCTAATTAAAAAGGAATGCCAATTTTTGGAAATACCTCCATTTTGAAGTCTATTCTTGTAGCAGTTTTTTGAATGTCAGATTCAGTGTTTTTTTGGTAGCCTTGGTTTAGTTTTGGTAGCCTTATTACTTGAAGTAGCAAAAATTAAAAGAGAAATAAAATTAAGAAGAATAGTTTACATATTATTTTATTCATAAAATAACAGTAGAATGGATGCTAGTAATAAACACTGCAGTAGCAATACAGAATTTTAAATTTTGTTTTGATTTGTTTTCATTAAGAAACATGCTGCTACCTAAAAGAAATCAAACATTTCTGAAGTATTCTAGATTATAGTCAGTACTAAACCGAAACATGTTATGTTCTAAAATCGTTTTGAAAATCATTTGACCCATATGGATTGTCCCTTCATTAGCTGAACTATAATGTTGCTAGTACCTGTGTCCTAGGTTCTGACAGAGCTTACAAGGTATAATAAGAGGAAGAAGAGTTTGCTTCTCTGTTCCTGAATGCAGGGCTACTTTAGGTAATATTTTGTAGTAGGTGAATTTCTAGTTACCCTCCTCAGAACTCTCCTGCTGCCTTAAGACCACCACCATGGTATCCCACAAGTGCTAAACCCTGGGAGTCAGAATGCCTAGGTTCTAGACTAGATCTGCCATCTCAGCAGATGCCATCTCTGTCCAATAGAACTTTCTGCAATGATGGAAAAGTTCTACATATCTATATTGCTTCATATAGTAACCACTGTCTGCATGTAGCTATTGAGCACTTGAAACGTGGTTAGTAGCACTGGAGAACTAGATTTTAAATTTTATTATTTCTACTTAGTTTAAATAGCTGCATGTGGTTGGTGACTACTAAATTGGACAGTGCAGAATATAACATCAGTCATAGTTTCACCCTTTGATGGTTTTATTTTGCTGAATTAAAAAGCAGGACTTAGACTAGTGACGTCCAAGCTCCCTTACTTCTAACTGTAAACATTCAGTTTCTATCCCATATTATAAAATTACTCATTCTGTGTCTCCCCACCTGAATTTCAAACATTGATTTGTCTACTGCAGATGATCTTAGCTGAGTATAATGAGAGAAATATCTAGACTGAACTAATAAATTCTGACTGCTATGGTCTCTTTATCCTTCTAGAGTTGTTTTATAATTCTGAGAAGGTTGCATCATGGTCTAAATGAATCTCAACATGATGCAGTTTCAAAATTTTTACCTTAAAAAAATGGTAATAACTAGTGCTTTTTTTTTTTTTTTTTTTTTTTTTTTTTGCGGTACACGGGCCTGTCACCGCTGTGGCCTCTCCCACTGCGGAGCACAGGCTCCGGACGCGCAGGCTCAGCAGCCATGGCTCACGGGCCCAGCTGCTCCGCGGCATGTGGGATCCTCCCGGACCGGGGCACGAACCTGCGTCCCCTGCATCAGCAGGCGGACCCCCAACCACCGCGCCACCAGGGAAGCCCCACTAGTGCTTTTTAAAATAATATAAAATTAATTAATTTACCTTCTGAAAAATTTATTTGAAATTTGGGTATATTCAAGTAGAATTTTCATAGTAAGTCTGCCTTTCACAGATAATGTGTTAAGCTTGGTGTATATGCTTCCAGACGTTTTTGTATGTACGTGTAAACTTATACTGCATGTATGTGTGTATATGTTGCATGTAGGCATACGTATGTTAATGTCTTTTCTTCTCTTTTCTCTTAACATGAGAAAAGCTTCTCTTTTCTCTTAACATGATGTGGTAGTTATTCTTTCCCTGTGAGTACTTGTAAGTCCACCTCCTCATTTTTAATGACTGTATAGTATATCATTGCATAGATGTATCATAATTTACTTAACCAAGGCTCAGTGATGCACATTTAGCTCATATTTATTTTTGTTTTCCTTTGCTGTTAAACACAGTGCAGTAAATTGTCTCAAATACATATCATTGCTCACTTGTTAATTATTTTCTTAGGCTGAATTCTTAGAAATGGAATTGGTAAATTCCTAGAAATGGGTCAAAGACTATGCAGATTAGAAAGTTTGATATGTATAGCCAGATTGCTCTCTAGAAAAGTTGTACCACTTATAATTCCATCGATAGTGTATGTCTGTCCATTTCTTTGTTCTGCTTCTAACACTGAGCGTCATCAGTTACGAAAATTTTGACTAATATGATAACCAAAAACATCTCTTGTAGCATGAATTATTTGAATCAGGTCCATATGTATTGGCAATACTTATAACTTCCTTTGTGTGCTACTGATGCTTTAAAAATAATTGTGTAAGATGGAGAGCCTTATTACTCTGTTTACCTGTACCGTGGTTGGAAAATCCCTATGACTAATATTATTTATATAATTCAAATATACAAGTCAGTTTTTTCTATTAAAACATAAAAATCTAAAGCTTGGGCTTCTTAAATGAAAAACTATTTTTCTAAAGCTGAAAATTCAGATTGTGTGTATGTGTATATATATGTTTATATATATATATATTTGTGTGTGTATGAATATATGTGATACATATATAAGCATGTAACATGTATGTAACTATAGCAAATTCGCTACATTTTATTGCGTTATATTTTGATCTGCTCTCCTTGTCGTTCCAAATAGATAATTCCTACATTGACAAAGATGAGCATGGTTCGTCCTCTGAAAGTGAAGATGAAGCACTGGGTAAATATCATGAGGCCTTATCCAGAACACACAATTCCAGACTACCATTGGCAGATTCTAGACAAAAGAGCTATACTTGGGAAACAAGACAGAAATATAGCCCTCTCTCTGCAGAGTATGATGGATACAGTAGCGAAGCATCAATAGATGAAGGTAAGATAGGTTAAGTTGTTTTTTTTTTTTACACTATAGTATTTGATTATTTGTTTCTAAAACTCTAGGTGTCTGTGGTTGTACAATAAATAAGAGATAGCATATATGGTAGGGTCACATTTCTGGGAATATAATTTATTCAAATTCAAATCTTTGGGCTCAAGCCAAAAACCAAAACTAAAACCAAAACACCCAAAAGCAAAACACCAAATAATTTAAATACAGTGGTAATTCTCTCTTTTCATAATGAAAATATGCCTAGCAATCATGAGATGGGAAGTGTGAATCTGCTGTTGTCTCAGATGGAATCAGTTCCTAAATACCTGTTACAGGAACTGATATGGTCTAAGAATCTCACAGTGTTGAATATGATTCTAGTGTGTAAATGAATGCTTTTTCATTCAGTATGGGCCCTAACATGAGCCAGATACTTCATGTGGCATGAAGCAGAAGGAGTGGTGATCTCTTCCATGTAGGAGGAAAAACTGTCTGAGATAGATTTATTGAGAGCCAGTACTGTATAGTACGAGACTTTAAGGGAAATTTAAGGAATTTTCAAGGATTTTTTTGTCCCCTGTTAATTTTTGCCTCATGTGCTGACATTGACATTAGAAGTCAACCTATGTAGAAGATACAGGTCCACTCTCAGGTGTTTTTATATCTTTCTAAAAGAGAAATAAAAAAGGTTTTACCATTACCTAAAGCATTTTTATTTCCACATCTAAGTAAGTTGTTTGTGTGATTGATACAATGTGTGACTACTCCTAGTAATTATTATATTTATGCCCAGATATGAAGAAAAGAGCAATATATTTTAAATAGCATTTTTATTATTATATCAAACACAAACTAACCTTAATATTGTAGCTGTGGTTTGTGTTTTGGGGCCTGTTACTATTGATGACTTACTCTGGCACATACAGTTGTCAAAGGAGTTAAATTTTTGTATTTGGCTTCATGCTAACTAAAGATTGATATACCTCCCTTTTATTTCTGCTAGTACATAGTACAGTAAGAAATTAATCAAATATGGAAGGCTTATTATGAGATGCTAGGAAAGAAATAAAAAATATTAGACATGGACTCTACCCTCAAAATTACCTTTCTTAGTACTAGAGAAAATAAGACATGTGCTTACAAAGATAACTAAATAATGTAAACCCTGGCTCATGAATAGTAGAGCAGAAAGAGAATGGGTCTTGAAGCCTGATCCTTGTTCACATTCTGGCCCTGTGACTTACCATATTAGCAGCGAAACCTTGGGCAGTGTACTTGATAGTTTCTAGGTTTGTTTCATTGTCTCTAAGTGTGAATAATACCTTGCTGATAGGGTTGTCATGGACATTAAATGGTATGTGTGGTGTTTTTAGCATAGTGTCTGGTGCGTGATAGGTAAGTGATCAGTAAATGGTAGTCATAGTTATGGGTGGTGAAGCATTGATGGTGATGATAGTGAGTAGCTGCTAGCAAGCCCTGAGTGTGTAGTCTGTGACCCTAGACACTTCCCTTTCTGCAGCTTCAGTTTAGGGTTTTATTTTTCCCTGCTCACTCCTTCTTCTGCCTCTCTGCTGGCCTGATTGCTTCTTCCTTGTAGTCCTATTATTCTCGCGTGGCTCAACAATCTGTGGGAAAAGGGGTGAAGAGAGAAGCATAATCTCAGTGGCTCTTCTGTTCCTGCCCTCACCTCTGGAATCACCCTCTCATTTCATTTCACCTATATATTTAGGACCCACTTGTACTTTTCTACCATTTCTACCCTAAATCATTGGATAAAGCACCCAGGGTAGATTGATTTTAGGCATTCTGAAATTATTTATTTCATAAACATTTGTTGAAAGTTTTTTTATGTGCCATACTAGATCCTGTGGATGTAAAGATGAATAAAAACAAGCTTGTTTTAAAGAGCCCACAGACTGGAGGAGGATGACCAGTGAGTACATGTGTAATGTAGTGTGTTAAGAGGTCTGCTAGTTACATGAACAACGTAATGTAGAAATACAGAGGAGGACTGAGACTTTGTTTGGGAGGTGGCGAAAGGGGAAGTCTGATGTATGATGCAGCCTTCACAGGATAGGTGAACTAGACTTGAGGGAGAACTGTTCAACCACCATGTAATAGTGATTGCAGGAAAGCAGAAGACAGTGTGTTTCAGTGTCTTTAACCTAGGATCTGTGCTGAATGCCATGCTCAGGAGTTGGGATGTTGTCTTATAGGGAATGTAGAACCCTGGAAGGTTTTTAAGCTGGATAGTGTGGCACTTTTAGGTTAGTGTGTTTAAGAAGGATTATTTAACTACTGTAATAGAAGATGAATTGGAGGTAGGAACTACTGGAGGCAAAAGGACTGGTTAGATAAACAGTGATGAGATCCTCATTAGCAATGTTAATTGAGGGACAAAGAATTTGTAGATTGAGGGATGGTCTCAGTATATCCTGGTGAGTGACTGAACATATGCAATGAGTAAGGAATTAAGATTGTTTAATTAGTTTAGAAAGCATAAGAGAAGTAAGTTTGTGGGAGGGAGATAATTTAGTTTCAGTCATGCTGAATTTGAGGTGTCTGTGGAATATCCAGGTAGAGGTGGATATCCTTGTTGGTAAAATACTGTCATTGGGATTTAGGATGGGGAGATGAACAAGTGGTAATGTAAGATAACAGTAGACTAGGAGGATAGTTTTTTGTATCATAGATTATTGCTAATTGAAAAATCAAAGATTGCTGTGAGTGCAAAATACGCTCAACACCAATCAGTGGAGTCAGGGAAGAATAGGAAAACTTGATTAGAGAGGGAGATTTCAGAGCTCCAGATTTTAGAGAAAAGCAACTTCAAGTGATAGTAAGTTCTGAACATGCCCACAGGCAAAGATGCAGAAGTACGTATAAAATGCTAAAAGGTTTTAAGGAAGGGAGTGAATTACCATCCATTGGGGAAGATGTGATAGAACATCCATGAAAATGGCAATTGGGTTCAGCTTTGAAGAATGGGTATAAAGTTGAAAAGAATAAGCAGAGGTATTTTAGATAGAGGGAAGTTCATAAACGCCAGAGTACGCAGTGGTAAAATGTAGGGACTATTTCAGGACAAGAGAAAAGTCCTCTTGGCTCTAACATAGGTGTATGTATGTATATGTGTGTGTGTGTGTGTATGTGTGTATATAAGTATATATATGTATCAGTATATATACTGTATATTAGTATGCACACACACACACACACACACACACACACACACACACACACACACACATATGTAAAATAAAAAGGAAAGAGGTGAGGTCTAAAGCCTGGAGTGCCTCAAGCCTGGAGTGCCTCACTGAGTAGAAGTTTGGATTTAATTTGTTAACCAGTGAAAACTCACTGAAAGTTTTTCACCAAGGAACCATGACCAGATGTGCTTTAGAAAGAGTAATGTAGCAACAGGAAGGCTATAGGAAAAGACACCAATTAAGGAGGTCTTTGGAGTCATCTATGTGGGAAATGGTAAAAATCTGAATTGAAGTAGTGGCAAGAGGAATATAGGAGGATAGGAGAGACATTACAGAGGTGCAATTTACTGAATTTAGGAACTAAATGTATTTGGAACATTAGAAAGAAGGAAGGAAGTGTCAAAGATGACACTAGTTTCCAGCAAGTATGACTAGGAAAATGATGAGGTCATTAATATAAATAAGAAATCCAGAGAGGGATGGTTTTTTCTTGGATGGTGGGTTGGGGTGGAAGATAAAAGTGGTTTTGTGTATATGGTAAGGCAGAATATTTAGGCAACTGGAAATGGCTGTGGATCTTGAAATCATGAATGGAGTTTGGGAGAAGGTTTTTTTCAGATTGTATATACTTAGAGAATAGGAACCAAGGGAAGGGATTAAATTGTTGAGGGAGAATATATGGAGAGAAAAGATAAGAGAGTCATTTCCTTTCATTAACAGAGAATTAAGGATGTCACTTAAACAGAGAAGAGAAAGTAACAACCATAAAGTGGAGAACCAGGAGAATGTTGCATTTCATCAGACACGGAAGGAGAGTTTCGAATGCTACACCACAGAGAAACTGGGGAGGATGAGAATTCAGACAAGCCCCTTTGTCCAGTAGAAGATGATCAGTTACTTTCAGTGTACATTTTAGTAGTGTAGAATCATACATGAGATTGAAGGTGGTTAGGAGAGAATAAGTGGAAGAGAGTGTACATTTGCTGCCTGCACTTTCATACCACTTGTTCTCTATCAACTTTCAGAGTCAAGAATCTTGAGAGGTAGTTGAAGGGGTTCACCTTCTCCCTCCAACCCAACAATAGTAACCCTCCTCTGGTATATATTTGGGAAGGATGGGGATTTGTTTCTAATACACATTTGAGTCTCTGCCAGGTGGTTGTGCCTCTGCATAGTTGACTCAGGAGAAGTACTGCTCACTTCATGTCTGGTCACCTAAGAGGGCTACTGAGTATAGTTCTCTTATAGGATTTTGTTCATTCTCCTGAGGTACAAGGAAAGGGATCGGTAGAGTAGATTATGCTTCTCTTTACTGCTCTGACCCTTTGTTCTGCATACTATTCTGCAGGTTTATGAAGGTAACACTTGACTAATGTGGGTTGAGGTGACTAAAGGGAATTATAAGGTAGAAGGAAAAATATTTTTAAATGTACATTTTTTACATGACATATTGTTACCTCATTAGGGCTGGTAAAGAACCATTACCCCATTTCTCAATCTCTGAATAATTCCAGTAGAGAAGCTTTGGAACAGCCAATATTGGAAATATCTAAAGAGTAGAGAGGGTCAGGGAGGGCCTGGATAGGGATTAGGAGGACCAGTGCAAGAGAACTTTCTGATCAAGTAGGGAGAACTACCATTCATTGAGCTCCTACTGTGTGCCTGACTCTGATAGTTTCTGTACACATTGTTATACTTAGGCTTCACTGCAACACATTGTGGTAGATAAGATTATTTCCATTTTACAGAAGTGAGAGGAGATTTTAGATCAAATAAGTAATTTTTAACCCAAGG